GTGTATTACAAGTTGGTATCGAGTAAAGAATAAACTGGTTTAATCAAGAAGGGACTTGTATCGCTGAAGTTCCTCGGAAGGAATTTATACCGGAAATTATCAAGCAAGCAGATACGCAACAATATATATATATATATACATGTATATATTGAGCAGGGACATAAAACCTGCTTTGTTTATTAAGATTTCTTATCATTAGTCAATTTTACTTGCTTTTTTGTATTATTATTATTATTCCTTTTTATGTAACACTTTGTATGATTTTAATTGGACCTTTCGGGTCCCATACCTCTAGACCGTGGGGAAAGTGCCCCATCTATTCCTTCGTCACTATTTATAAACATTAAAAATGAGTTCAAATCCAAGTCCTTTTTATTAACCTTAAATTTCCTCGCAGTGCTCCAAAAGATACTAATTTCTAGCAGCGTTTCAACAATAAATAAAAAACAAGTGGGAATGTACCAAAGTATTTCAAATAACATTTCTATAGTAACGAATAAAACATTAAATAACGGTTTCCTATAAACAATAATTGCATTATAGTTTTAACTTCTCTACAACACCTACTGGTGTGATATGATACTTGGCGGATGTTTGGAAACAACGAGCTTTTTATTCTAACAAAAGCGAGTAATGTTTACATTTGATTACTTTCACAAATATATATTTCAAGTTTACTTTTTACTTAATTGTCTTTACCTTTGTACCTATGTACGTTTACACTATAAATCCTAGATTAATTCACCATGTTTGCGAAAGCATGAATGTTTATTAACCCATTGCTGATACTGAATGAAAAAGAAACTTGACATAAATTCCTGAATGTGTGAAACGGAGTGAAGCTGGGAATATCACCCAATACCGTTAACAAGATAATAAACAAGATAAAGTTAATGGAAAGCTCACAACCCAAAAGATTACAAAACTCCATCTTCTCTAAATTAATAACTGTGTTCGTGAGAAAAATAGCCGAATGAATTGGAACCACAACAAATCTATTTAACCGCATACCCATCAACTCCCCTTTGTTATTGCCCATGGAAAACTTTGTCAAGATGTATGATCTAATATTGATTTCGCTATCTTTCGCAAAAGCACGTTACAATGGATCTTGCAATGTCGATAATAGTACGTAATAAAGGTTATTAAAGTCTGCACGATCGATGATGTAAAGACAGTAAGATGCTCGTAATATTGTTCTCACGAAAAATGATTATCCCTGAATAAAAGTCAATTTATAACAAAAAGCCTCTAAAAGCATTTTGGGATTTTCTTTTTGAAGTGATATACCAAATAGCAAAAGAAATATAAATCAAAGTATTCCGATAGATTTGTTCTTAGAATGTTTCTTTTCTAATTATAATTATTAATAAAGTTCTGAATGTCAATACACGTGTATCCACCCAAGGGCCAGAATAAACTTTCAATATCCGTGTAAGTTCACAGAATGACATTTTAATTACTTGTTGACTAATATCTGCTATGAGCTTGAAATTATTCTTAGATAACTAACAGCTTGTTCTTGTTTTAATCATTTCCATTTCATGTTGATTATATTAAAAAAATGGTATGGTGCGTTTAAATAGCAGTTCAAAAGAAACAAGAATAAAGAATGGCCAGTCTTTCAGTCCATGTTGTCAGGTCACTTGATGGAATGTTAGAAAAAAAGTCAGGATCTTGGTTTCATGTTTGTTTTAGTGACGTAACTTGCATAACTAAAAACGTAATCGTTGCATTATTGGAAAATTCATGAAATATAATACCGTCTAATTTGTTTAAGCTACATCCTCGACCCTTCGTAAGTATAAACTAACTCGTGGTTTACAATAAATAAATATTAGACATTATACAAGGTTGCTTGAAACATTCAACGATCCATAAATAGAAAATGACTGAATGGTTGCAACAAAGAACAATTCATGAAGTACCCACATGAAATACTTCATTGAATATGCCTGGCGTTATATCCTATATGGTACTAATCAGGAATGTACACTTTGTTTTTGCTTCACAACTACTTAGTAATTATTGGATGAATATACAAAGACCATTATAAACCATGAAACTCAATAAGTTCTATTACACAATCAGACTTGTATCATATGTAAAGACTATGTGTGTTGACTCAAAAGTCAGACGAACGAGCAGCCTTTTTATATGCAGTTTGCTCTGCATGGATGATACCAGTATTAAGACTAGCATTTAAACTGAAAGTCTGACTGAACCTTTTGTTATCATTCTTCAATTAATTCTGTCGTTTTCGTGCTTCTTATCCATGACATACTAGGGTACCCTTGACGCAAAGTTCTTTAGTACTGTAAGATACTGTGTACACAGGGCTCTTCAAATTCCCTAAGGCTCTCTTGATTCAAAACATTTCTGTCATATAAACTAAATAACCTGCAGCTAACTTCATGATCGTGAAAAGCTTCTATATACTGAGATCAAGAGAGAAAATAAAGAGAGAGAAAGATGTCCAAAATCACCTGTATTTACGATTTGGTACAGGCATTACGAAAATCGTAAGTATCTTTTGAAAAGCAAGGCTTTATATAAAATGTGCTACTGAGTGAAACAGGTGTAATGTACTGTTTGTTAAAAGTAAGACTGTATGTAGTTCAGCTGTTATGCATACGTATATTGCAAATAACACTGTTTAGAGAATAACGTTTCAACTGATCTGTGTAGTTAATAATTCTGATCTTGGATATTTTTATCTATGAAGAAATAAAATGTTTCAAAATCGCAGATGTTCTTAAACCGTAGATTATGTTAACTTTCTCATAAGTTTGAAGTATTGATTATGCATGACTATATTATGTACATTTTTCGTCTCACACACTTTTTATTTTTATGCAGCGGCCAATTAAGTGAAAAAGAAATAGAGGTAATGAAGTTTTTCAAATTATTGTTGAGTTTTTTCATTTTTTTTCCGTAATTAATTACTTGGCATTACCAACTAAAGTCTCTCTCTCTATATATTGTATTTTACTCATACCCATTTATACTGAGTATATGTACGCACTATACGTGAGTTTATATGTGTGTGTGTATAAGTGAAATATTTGTGCACTTTTGTACAGTTTCGTTGAATGTGAACCATTATTTTGATCCTGCTACTAATTGTACTTTATTTGAAATTCATTGTATATATGTGTAAATATTTATATCTTGCAAGCGCCAATATGAGGTCAAATCCCACACCTTTTTTTTGAATTAAATGGGCCCCTTTTTTCGTAACACTTATATTTGGTGAATAATTGGAGTTACTACTAATCAAACAGAACAAATATTTTCCATCGTACATTGTTGGTACATTTAACTAATAATTAAGTTGGCGAATTTGTTAACAAAAAAGCGTCATTTTAAAAGTCGATTAATCAAAAATCCAAACTTGAAAGTAATTAATTGTCATATTTAGATCACAAATAACAGTCTTTTTTTTATTTATTTTTTTGGAATCACAGAGCAAGTTTAGCATGCTGTCCTTGAGTTTTAAAATGGATAAACTGACTTTACACCAAAGAAAAGAACTACAACAACGCTACAGAAAAACCGCCGAAAAAAACATGGAAAATGAATCGAAGGCTCTTAAAGAGTATATTAATGTAAGAATCTATCGAAAGTCGCTTATTTTTATTCGTCTTGAATTCTATCCCATTAAAAAGCAATGATGGTGTTTATGTTAAATAAAATAAAAATAAACAACAGATGACTAATATATAAAACAAATAATGAATTTTAATTAGATTAAACAAAACAAACTCAAATGTTTTTCTATTGTTAAAAGATATTGGACCAACAGAATAATACTCCCCAAATGCAAAAGCTAATCAGCAGGATATATCAACAAATTGAAATGGTTCAACAAGCATCAGCATTTGTATCGAGTCGCGCCGAATTATACGGAGCTATTCAACTGGTAAGATTTATTAACGTTTTATGCATCAGGTAAAGATCCATATAAGTATAACTTCCTGTTATTAAATAGTTACTTGTAAAGAATATAAGAAATTAATCTAAATTAAAAGTTTCTTTGGCGTGTTGTGATTAAATAACATGAATTTTTATATTTATATTTTTGTTACATAAAAAATATAAATTCAAATATGTTGAATGCGACTAGACTCCACTAGAGAATCTCATACGAGCTCAGTAGAAGTATAAATAGTAAGAATTACCCACTTGAAGTCTAGGAGTTGAATGTTTAGGCCTAAATTTAACGTTGTAATACTGATACAAGCTAAAAATATAGCCTAAAATGTATGGCATTAAACAATTGTGAATTTGCTATTACGAAGTTGCATATTCTAAAGTTTCAAAGATAAGGTCACCCAAGAAACCCAAAATACTCGGATGAAAACTGAATAATCAAATCTGTATGTGTTTCGAAACTTGGATCGACCTATTAGAGTTAATGTAATTCTCAAGTGGTTTTTACACTCGAATGGGATTTTTTTTAATTATTATGAAACACAGGAATAAATTTCTAAATTCATTTTTCAGGAAGAGAGAATGAATCGAGCCTTTGAAGTTATAGCTAAGTACGTAGAAAAATTGAAAAGAGTGTACGACAAAGACCACCAGGAATTGGAAGATATTCGACGTCTATTAATTGAAAATAAAGTGTTGCCTACTAAAATTAATAGTGGAGTTGAAAACGACGAATTGAAAAAGCCTCGTTTACCTTGTTCATACTCTCCGAGCAGAGTATCTGTAAGTTTTATCTTCTAGTCCCACGTTCGATTTGTTTGTTTGGATAAACTAATGATAATCCGAGGCGAAAAATTATATATTGTGGTAAAAATAAATTACCCCAACGCAAACTTGACGAGCGTCTGTCCTCGAAAAAGGCTTTCGAAGTTACACAAAATTTAAAGCACAAATATTCTTCTAATTAAATAAAAATTCTCTCCTTGTGACTACTTCGAAATCAGAAACAATGCCGATATGTTTCCTCCTGTTCATGTATTGTACAATGTTTACTTTAATGCTATTAATATTTTAAAGAAAAACAATACACCATCACAGAGCTCCAGATTAAGGTTTCACTCAACAGTCTCTTCAAGGATAATTATCCTATACCTATTTTAAGTACAGCTGATACTGTTGTACCAAATTTCATGTCATATAGACGGATGTTGATTAATATCTGTTAATAATTTTAAGGCTGCCATACACTACATGCCTGCGATAAGTGTCACATTTTCTGGTGACTATATCCCTGATCCCCATAGAAATACTATGTTCAGGTCCCGCACGTACTTTATCCCCTTCCTACCACCAACTAACTTTTGCTTCCTCCGGTTGTGCATGTTACTGCGGTACAGGAGGTACAGAATTGTTTCATGTTATGTTTTAGTCTGTAGGCTAACCGGGACGTTTGTTATCTAACCTTCCTATGACTCATATTTTGTAAATAAAATTGGTGAAATAAAAAATTCGTTTATAAGCTCATTAATTGGCGTATATTTTCAAAATCCTGTCTCGTGTGTTAAAGAGCGTTTCAATTCTTGAGCTCACTCTGTAGAGTACTCGTCTAGCGTGCGGTCCCGGGTTCAAATCCGAGACGTGGAAATATATAATAAAAAAATACGACACTATTATGATTCTCTGACCTCACATAGTTTGACCTCTGTCTCCTAAAAACAAAATCGTTCATCAGTAACTTAAGTAAACAAAAATGCAAACAAGTAATAATAAATTAGTATGTATCAGACCAGGCGTGGTTATAATTGTTAGCGTAACGGGCTGCATATCGTTAAATCCAAGGTTCGAGCTTTGATATGCCGCTGAACACGTTACGCACTTTATATCATGGAAGTTTATAATCATAGCAATCAATCTCGTTATTCAGTGGCCTCGTAATAGGCGTCAAAAAAAAAAAGAAGTGCCGAAACGTTTTTGTAATTAAACATGATTTGACTTTAATTTTGTTACACTTAATATATCGTCTTAATATACATACTAGTATAGATGTTTTATATATATTGATGTAAGTTAGTTTGCAACTGTTATTTTATCATGTTTGTTTCAAAGTCATTCATTATAATGCTTACACCTATCATCTGGATCTTTTACTAGGAAAACCGAGGTCGACGACTCAGTACAGTGGTCACTAAAGTTAGTAAAATAACAGCTGCTAGTAGAAGCTCATCATCTGGAACATCATCTTGTCCTCCATCCTCGTCCTCTGGTACTCCGTCGCCAAAATATTTATTGAGTAGACGCAGCTCCTTACCGACTGCAGAGCATTTATGTGGTTTTAGTAGTTCCTCCATTTTGTCTTCAGCTCTCAAGAATAAGAGTTGGAGTCAGGAGGACATTCCTGAGCAAGAATCCGAATGTCTCACGCAGGAAGAATAAGAATAAATGTAAGAAAGGTGTAATTCATCAACATTTAAATGTATGGCAAAAGTTTGTTTCAACAAAGCGAAGCAAAGTTTGTCGTTACGAGTGTTGTTCGTGCTAAATTGACGACTTTTACATAGACAGAACTATAAAGAAAACTCTTGGAGCACTTGACAGTTTCAAAAACAAAATGCTCTTTTAACACCAACTTTTATGTGTTTCTTATTGGCTCATTCTGTCTACTTAGATCTATCTTAATCAACCAAAGTAGGTACATCATGGACTGTTCTTATTACTCCAATATGTCTACATAGGATAAACACCTGCATGCGAAAAAGAATGTGCCAAATATGTGTTTTTTGTCTGATGCAACAGTATTTGTTGACATTCAATTTGGAATACATTCGTCATATCTCCTATCCTATACTTTTATTACTATCATATTGTTACTTCTCTTAATCAGCTGTGATACTTGTGTTGCTTTTATTAACCTCATAATGTCACTTCTCTTAATCAACTGTGATACTTGTGGTGCTTTATTAACATAATATTGTCACTTCTCTTAATAAACTGTGATACTCGTGTTGCTTTTATTAACATCATAATGTCACTTCTCTTAATCAACTGTGATACTCGTGTTGCTTTTATTAACATCATAATGTCACTTCTCTTAATCATCTGTGATACTTGTGTTGCTTTTATTAACATCATAATGTCACTTCTCTTAATCAACTGTGATACTTGTGTTGCAATGAGTTTTGTTGTTGTTGCTTGTGCTTCCTCTTTCATCTTTCGACTTCATCCTATAATTAAATACGTATATTGTCACAGTATAAAGAAGATTATTTTGTAGTTGTTTTTAAGGAATTTCAGTTAAACATTTGTTACAGTACGTTTTAAAAAACGCTATTTATAAATATTGAATGAAAAGGTAGAATAAAATTCATCAGTATATAAAACGAAATTAGTATTTATATTTTCAACCTGAACGACTCTTTATGGGCTAAATGGATAGATCATAGTGCAAAACGATAAGTTTGCTTGTTTTACGATGTCGTGAAAATACACGAAAATTCGTTACTTCATAATATCTTACACACTCGGGAATATTAAGTTCCAATTCACTCGGGAATTTCTAACTAGCTTGAGCTTAAGGAAGAGAAAAGGCTGTCTTAACTTTTGCTATAAGAACGAGGAGTCTTTTCTTATTTCTTATTTACTCATACGAATAAAAATTGACAAAACTTTCATTTAACATTCAGCTTGAACTTTTCCTTTTTTCGGCGAATGATAATAATTTTTAAAATATAGAGAATGTTACAGTGCTTGTAGACAAATTTCACCCTAAAATTACAGATAGAACAAAAATCACAATAATAAACTACAAATCTACAACCAAAACATTAGTAGGTTACACTCTTAACAACATTAACACCTCCAAATCAGCTTAATAATCTGAAGAAGATATATTACAAACGTCACAGTATTTTTCTCTGTTCAATGAATCTAAAAGAAACTGTACATTAAAATAAATCGCTATCAAACAGGGATCACGAAAAACTTAAACATTTATCCATAAAAATCTCATATATATAGAATATTTATACAAAACAAGATCCATCATCACACTGAAGTTCAATGTGGTAAGAACGTGAAGTGTTTGTTGCGAGCTACACCAAGACTTTAGTTACTTTACTCATTGGAATCTATTGTCTCTCTCCCATTGGTTCGTTAAACATTCGTCATTTTTCGTGAACAGAAGTGATTAGATTCGAGTAAACAAAATACATAGAACAAAAATATCAATTTTGAATATAACTTCTGTTATGAGATGAGATAGTGTGAGATAATTAAAATATAGAACTACGTTCATCCAGAACTAGATTTCAAATTATATGTCATTTGGGTCAATTAATCTACACCTGATGTGCAAAATAAATAAACAAAAATTCCAAGTTGTTACCGTTTCAGTGAAATCCTTTTAATAGTTTCATATAATATATTTGACACAAACCTATCTTATAACGTAAAAATTGATGAATAATTCACAGGCTTGCGATGGTTTTATTGGCTTGAAATTTTTATATGTTCTACAGTAATTCCTGTACGCTGAATACGAAAATAATATTCATTTTTCTCCGTCACGTACAGATTTTTCACAAAAAGTCATAACCCAATATATAAAAGAAAGACCACAACACGTAGTTTTGAGACTAAAAGATGTAGAGTTCACTCATAAAAATCAGGATGAATGAGGATGCATATTCGTTTGACATCAATGTTCTTCCCCTTTCTTCAGTTTGTTTGTATTTTTATTAACAAATATATAATACTAAAAACATTTTGATTGTGGTAAACGAAATAATAATTTGATCTAAGTAAGAGTTTTTTCTTCTTCCTGATTTGTAAAAAAATCTTTACGTAATAGAAAAAAATGAATATTCTTTTCGAAATCTGCGTAGTTGAATTATGGAAAATCCGTTATTAAAACCAAAACATCTTTTATGAAGTTTAATATTCACAGGCCTGTGTAACAATACACATAGTAGGTAATATACGTATATTATACCTTAATACCTAAAACCGAAAAAATGTTATTTGTTTTACTTCACTAAACAGAACGGAAAGGAAGAAATTAGCGAAAACATGAAGATGGAAAAATAAAACAGCAAATATATATATTCCATACTCAAAGAAATCTGTGAACCACGGTTCATCATTATAGCGCACTCTGTGTTGCAGAAATGGATTTTTTTTTTTAATTGTATTAAAATATTACTTTTTTGTGTGTAGCTGCTGTTGTACTTATGCATGGCCGGATGTTCATAGTTTTCTGAAATCAACAAATAATGCAAACCAATGATATCTAATACTGGAGTCTCCCAGTGGGAGAGTGGTAAGTCTACGGATTTACAACGCTAAAATCAGGTGTTCGATTCCCTTCGGTAGACACAGTACATAGCCTGATGCGGCTTTGCTATAAAAAAACACACACACACACTAATATTGGAAGTATAATCAACTTACAAGATGTGTTTATTATAGGTAGTGAACCACTAGTGAATTAGATGTTGAGTTCATGAGGTACACAAATTGTTAACTTATAATGCAGTTATCTACTAATTACTTGTACAAAACCAGATGTATTTTCATATTATACAGTAGGCTGCTCAAAACCTATAGAAGAAGAGTGCAAAGTGACTCATCTGATCACATCATACACTTCCAATCATTTATTGCCCATGGCTGGTTCTTTAAACTTCACTGGAGCTGTTGTTTTTCTGCATATCTACACAATGGGATATTTGCGCTTTATTATATATGGGGAATCGATCTTCTGATTTTAACGTTGTTAGTCCGTTAACTTAGTGCTGACTCACTGAGGGATCATGAAATAAGTAGTGTTCAAACTGGTTACCAGCGTGTCACATGATATTTGTTTGTAATATATTTTGAAGGAACTAGTCAGTTAGGACATAGTCTGACGTGTGATATATCTTACAGACGGTTTCAATCATCTTTTGTCCCGTCTTTCACCAGATGTCTTTCCTTTCGATTGCCACTGCTAATAGATCTTAACTACTTTAAAAGGTCATTTAAAGAAATGGCTTTTGATAATGACATCCTCTCTTGCTAGACAGGTAGCCATTATAATGCCTCTTAGAAATTTTGAGAGATCCTTCTTATTGTTTATTGTCTTGCACTCATTTTAATATGACTATTTCTTTGAATTTCTGGAGCTCGGGTAATCACTTGATATATCACCTAATCAGTCTATTTCACATGAGCCAATGGACGCGTGTTCAAGAAATGTGTGTGCGGGACCTAGTAAAGTAACCTTCCAATGTATGTCTACAATTAGAAAATCCAAACTTATCATTAAAAAGATTGTACAGCTATGCTTTCTACTTTCAAAAGGCTGTGCCGACTGTCACCCGACATTACATCTTTCTTTTTTGACAGGTTATTAATTCCAACCGTGAAAGGATATAAAGATCTGTAGATGCTGTCAGGATTATTGGCATAAAACTACACTTTATTTTTTATAGAAAAATTTTTTTCAAACAATTTGATAAAAAGCGAAATGATTTTTAATAAATAGATTTGATATCAATTTGTATAATTGATATTTGTATATCAATTTAGTAGGGATTTGCTTTTCTGGTAGCGTCACCTACTATAAAGCGAAGCGTTGTTTTGTTATCCCATTTTTTGTATGGTAATCACTGAGACTGATACAATGATAGTGTTGAATATGTGAAAATTCTATAGATATATAGTCTTTAATTTTTTCTTTATCTAAAGTATGTGAATGGTATAATTATATTTAACGTTATTATTAAGTTTATTCAATACCATAAAGTAACGTGTGTATTTTTAATTTGTAAACATTTTAACTTTTTTTAAAGATATCTGTTGTGGCTAACTTTTACAGTTCACATACAAATTTCCTAGTCCTAGCTACGCAGCAGTGCATGGCAGCTAGGTAGAAGTCTGCACTAGAAGAATTATTTTCCTACTCAAAGTGACGAGTCATAGTTTTGAATTATCTCTTGTTCCCTTTGAAATATTCAAAAACTCAAATATTAGTTAATAATATACTTGATTTGAGTAACTGTACATATGATGTAAGAAGAAGTAAACGTTTATACTATATCCCATGTGGTCTAGTGGCTAGGATACCTGGCTTTCACCCAGGAGGCCCGGGTTCGATTCCCGGCATGGGAAATTTAATTTTTCTATTGTCCTTTAATATTAATACGTTATTTTAAATTTTCAAATAATATTGTACAAACGTATCAAATTGTTCTTTATTGCTTACATAATATTTTTTTTTTTTTTTACAGTAAACATCCTATTTTATTTCACGGCTATAATAATAAAATATAACATTCAAAAGCATTTTCGATTTTTAATAGGTATCAATTTCGATATTATTATTATAATAATAAAGATGAGGTGTGTAACTTGAATTTCTGAGTATTTTATTATGCACTTTATGAAGAATATTATTATAACTTATCTAGAGGTCCACAGTTACGGGAAGAAAGCAGTATAATGGAGGTGCATAGTAGGTGAGTACATAATTTTCCTGAAAGGGGGCAGAAGGTTGCCTAAAGGGGTCACCTGCTTTAATCAATAACCCCACTATGCAGTAGTATGTTGTCTCAGTCAGTCAGGGGACACTAGAATGGCGTCACATTTTAGGGACGTTTAACGTTGCAATTTGCACTGTCGTGACGTCAGTAAAACGTGCGCATGCCACGAATCATGAGAAGAATTAGGCACCCTGTAGGTTACAATACAGTATCACATATGAACTTCAAAAATAATAAATATAAATATTTCTTATTCTTAACTTTTGGTTTTATGCACTCTTGAAACAGAAAGAACATCTAGTACGTACTCTACACACAATAAAGTTTTGTGTCGTTCATCGCCTCTGTCTTCAAAATAGTTCCCATTTCTATGAAATTCAAGCACAGCGTCTGTTTATATTTGTATTCATCCTTATTGCAGTTATTCGGGAAAAAATTAAAATGATGACAAAACCTTATCGAAACGTTGTACATTTGCTGTTATGTTAAACTTATATTAAAGTTTTTCTTCATTACCCATTCAAGCCGTCTCCAACCATTACCAAAATTCATGTTTCTCAAAATCTTACTTTATGTGATTTTATACGTTCGCCTATATTAATAAATGCTCCCTAGTGGCACAGCGGCATGTCTGCGGACTTTCAACGCTATAAATCGGGTTTCAATACCCGTGGTTGGCAGAGCACAGATAGCAATTTGTGGTTAACTACAAACAAACAAACCAATATATATTATTTCTTTAGATATTCGATTGGGTTATGGATAAGAAAAGATACTTACGCAGTGGAATAACTTTTTCTGCTAAATGTATAATCAAAAACATTGAATTAAATAATATTTAGGCTGTTCCTCCCATATAAAATCCGTGTTTCTTTTTTCTTGAAAATTTTGGGTATATATAGTGAAATTTCCAATATTTTCTGTTACTTCTCGTGTCTTTACATTATATTTATGCATTTTTTAAGACTAAAATTTACCAAGACCACCTATTAAATGCCTAAATAGATATAGTTAAACGCCCGGATCGGTACAATCCGCCTCAAGAACAAAATGGCACCACTGAATTATAGAAAAAAAACAAATATACTTAAACTCGTTCTTCCACACATGAAAAACAGCTTCAGAGTTGAAATTTATTCTATAATTTTTTTTATTTATTTGAATTTATGTATAAAAATAAAATAAAAAATCGCGAATCTGAATTTATTCTAGTGCACTCCCAACGGAAAGATTAGTATTTGTGAATTTGTTAGCATAACATGACACTCTTAGTCCCAAAGGAGGAAAGTCGTAATAGTTTTGAAAAAAAAAAAAGAGAGACTGATTTCTCCTTGTAACTTGAAAAAAAAAAAAGTGTAGTTTTAATTAATTATACTTGTCATATGACATTAGTGTTAGACATATTATGTTTTAGACACTGCATTCGTTATTTAGTCCCTTTTGGTTTTTCAAGAAATAGAATAGTGTATAATTGTTGTATTTCAATCACACTATGTTCGCCATATCCATTGCCGACGACGCGTTTCTCTCAATCCTGAGCTCATCATTTCGATTGAGACACGACATAGTATGGGTTGGAACATTATTTATATACGCCATTTGTTACAACAAGATGTTTTACAGGTTGGCATTTTCAGTTTGAAGTAAAAATATTTTGTTTTGATCAATTAAAGATATTTCCATAAGTAATTGTTTTTAAAGACAAAAGTCTGAATCCCTATAATCCGAACGCTTCTAAAAGCAAGCCCGTAGCCAGCGGGGGTGGTCGGTGGGAATATGTTTTATGTGTGTTTAAATGCAAAGATAAGTTACAGTTTTAATAAAAAAATTACTAAACATATTTTGTTCAACTATGATTTTAAATTTACATCATAACATGTGCATTTTTTTGTAAAATGCCCCCTCTTTCCCCTTCCTGCTAGTGCCCATGTAAATTGTAACAACATGGTGAGTGAGGCTCAGCAATAATTTAATTAATATAAAGTGCCCAACAATATGTAATCTTGATAAGTGAGAACAGTATATTTAAATAGCTATATAATTCTATACTTATTATCAGATTGATTTTTATTTTTGATCTTAGATAGCTTACTCAGACTGAAAGTTAATATTAATATGTTTATAAGTATTATTATTTCTGAAGCGATTATTAAAGATTCTCTTGTAGGGCGAAGTTCAGGATATCGTTTTATTAACATACTGCAAATGTTTTATTTGTTCTAAATTTCTGCAAGCCTGTTTTGGCTGGTATTAATTTTAATAACAGGAACACAATAGGTAATAAAATAGTTTAAAATTTTATTTAGTAATTTATTTTCAAGATATATTTAAATGGAGTTTCTACAAGTTGATTTCATTGGATATGATCCACGACAAACTCACAAACTCGTGGTATTAATGAAAATGTACATTACTAAGCAAAAGCAAACTATATACAAAATCAAAGATATGAAACTAACATTTTGGTTTGAAAAAATAAACTCTGTGGCAAAAACTTGTACGCACATTGAATTAATGAAATGATTTTCTTTGTAAAAACTAAACAAAATAGTTAATTCAGTTTGCATGTAATTTTAATTTTTAGTTATGATCAATAATTTTTCCCTTTGCACTTTGTCCCCCCCCCTCCCAAGTCATGTCCTCTACATCCAAATAAGACTTAAACAATTCTTTTTCAATATTTCTCATTCCTAAACTTAGAAAAAGTATACCATATATAAAAAATTCCTGTTTGTTCTCCAGCAACTTACAAACAAGTTTTATCAAAGATGGTTGAGGTGTACTTCATTATGAATGTTAGACATATTTAGATATTGATAAATAATTAAATACTTATATTCAGATAGTGCTGCTGCCTAGAAAAATTAATTTAGTTCTTGATCTTCACCTGTACTCTTCTTTTTCTTCAATCTTTTACTTTCTTTATTTAATTCTTCAGTTTCTATTTTTATAATTTATCATAATGTATTTCTGTAGTCCAGTCTTCTTTTATTTTTTATACACCCCTTTAACACTTCCATAAAATCATATTTTTTCCAATTCTCTAATTTTATTGTTTGTCTCATCATTTTTATTTTCCCTTTATATTTGTTCACTTACTCACAAAAATCCTTTATTAATGTACTCTTCCATATCTTCTAGATCTAATCACTTTTTTGGTACATAACTTATGCAATTCTCTTCTAGCCTTCACATAATTCATTTTATCTTCCTCTTTTAATGTCTTTCCAAATTTATTTAAATATTTTCTTACTTGTCTCTTTTTATTAATACACTGTATCAAACCAATGTTAGCCTTTCCCTTTCTTGTCATCCATTTCCTCAGCTGCTTACTTTCATATAATATTTAACATTTCTAAATATTTTATTCCTCTTTCACCATTACATTTTATTACTGAAGCTATTATCATTCCTATGCATCTAAAATTTCCCTCTTTATCTCATTGCATTCTGCCATTAAAAATTGTCAATCCATTTTCTTCACAAAACTATTAATCATCTTTTTCTTTGTATTCAACTCATCATCTTTAGGTTTCTTTGTCAAACTACTAGATGCTTGGTGAGAAATAGTTTCAAAAAATATTCCAATAAAAATTTAATCATTTAGTATGAAAAACGCCTGTATTTTCTACTATTTTTGGCTTATTAAAAGTTTAATGAATCTGTGACTTTATTTTACTTTATTTGTATAAAGTACTAGTAATATTGGACAGCAGAATAAAAACTAAACCTTTGGTGAAAGTTAAATTGCTACTAACTAAAGAATGAATAAAAACAACTAAGAATGTGGTGACAAGATGTTAGATGGAGGAAGAAAACTATATAAGACTGCTGAGAAAATTATATATATTGATCAACTTATTTTGTTTCTTTTAGGGAGGATTCTAATATCAATATTTGCTGTTTAAGAAAACAACTGATTATAAAAGGTAATTCATTTTATTAAATGTATGTATGTTTTTCTATTGTTACATTTGTAGTAAGATAATATAATTCAAGAATAAGTTTCTCAGAATGCAAAGATGGAGAGGTATGGGGTGATAGCTTCCACTTTTATTAACATCTTTACAATCTAAAAGTAATACAACATTCACTGTAAAGCCACAATAAATCCACTACAAATGGATCTACTGTATATCTTGATAAGGATCAGTGATGGGTTGAGTTGATGGGCTCAACCACAGGAAATATACTTTTTACATGATATATAATTTTACTATTACATGAAAGCATCATAAACATGTAACCAAACATTAGCTCAACATTTGACTGGAACTTACTTTAATAATAAAGGCAATGTGTAATATACATGGTCTACAAGCCTATAACTGTCTATATAACATAACTGGTATTTTACAAATATAACAATTATATATGCAATGAATAATTACAGAACATTATGTGAGAACACTTCCAAAAAAATGTTCTATGATGAAAAACGTGATGTAATTTTTAGGCCAAATTCTATTAGTGCATGTAGGTTACATTATCAGATTAATTTATTTACAATACTGTAGATAAGATCCAAGAGGTATAGATTAGTATTGTGCTAAAATTAACTAATGATATACAATTTTTCTCATCCTGTATTACAGTTGTATTGAAAATTTTATCCAAACAACAAATAGAGACAAGCGTAACTTAGCCATTTTGCAAATAATTTGCATATCAAACAGGTCAACTCCAGTACATTTTCTAATCTTCTTTAAATGAATGTGCAAAATTTAAAGAAATATTAATGTTTTCAGTAATAGAGATTAACTGATAAAATTTCTTTCTGCTTAATAAATAAATGTGATATTTATTTTAATAGCATTATTAATAAATTAATTAATAAATGTGCTATTTCCCTTGCCTGAAAAAAAACTACTTGTCTAGGAAGTTTTGCAAAACTACTTCATTTTAAGTAAACTTTCTGTCTTATGTAGAATAAGCACAAACTTAAACTTTCTATTTGTGAAAAATGAATTATTTTTACATTTCAACATCAATGAAAAAAAATATTATGGCTCATGTTTTAAAGAGATAAAGAATGAATACCATCTTTTTATTATATAAAACAATGCACTATTCCTTAATATTTAATATGTTAGTATAAGTAGCTACATTGTAAGGTATCAGCAGACTGATCTAATCACTTATGGCTATAAAACCTGTGAAAATATTTTCAAGTTAGAACAAACATGAACTGTCAAAATTTTTTCATATAGTTATTAAGGGGGTTAGTGGGTTCCATGGGCCTGGTGGTAACGCTGCTCAACTCACAATCTGAGGGTCACAAGTTCAAATCCTCATCACTGAAGGTGCTTGTTTTGTATGGTTGCTGACTGGGTCAACAACCCTGGTGTAAAAAATCTTAGCTTAGAAAAATACACTTTGATCCAAAACTAATTGTGATTAAGGTAATAACAAACAGAGGGAGGTTCCGTACACCCAATAAATTTTTAATACATTTCTAAAGCAATAATTTTATAATTCTTGCAATTCATGAAGTAATACAAGTAAACTGATATTTAATGGACAATATATTATATAAAGAACAAAACCAGTTCTGTTCAAACAAAAAATAAGTATAAGCAGCACTTGGAGAATTATTAACACCTATGTGTATGTGTATTAATAAATCAAATTTTACAGTGTTGAAAACATAACCCAAAAGTATGTTTTCCCCTATTAGATTTTCAATACAGCATAATAAAGTTTTGTCATTAAATGTCATAGACAAACTTTTAAATTCTTATGAATAGTAATATAATAGATTTTTGCATATAGAACTCTCACTCATTCAATTACATTCTTGTCAAAAATAGTATAAATTATTTCACAAGTTAATTACAAAAAAAATACTAAATGTTACTTTGGTTTTTGCTTTAGTGAAACATTAAAAATGGACTATTTCATACTTTCCTTTAGTTATATCATTTAGATTTGTACTACAGCTCAGCCCTGTGCAAATAATTTTTCATCACAAACCTAAGAAACCTTACCCGACGATGATTTTATCATATATTAGTGTGAACATGTTGAAGGAAATTAGAGTGTAGCAGGTTTAAAAAAACAAAACAAATTGTTGAATCAGTAACATAAATTATTAGTAGCATACTTCTACATCCACAGACATGTTGTTGTAGTTGTAGTCATGTTTATTTCAAGAGAATCTACACAAATATCATATTTAGCTTTATATACATAATCGAGACTTTCTTAATCAATCAAAGTAATCTAAACTGGTAGAATGATAAACTAATTTATCTAAACTAATTTCTACATATTTTTAAATTAGATAACACTCAAATTTGTACTTTTTTGTGAAACATTCACTGAGTTTTCTCATCACTACTTAAACCAACTTATTGAGATACCAAAAACAACTTAATGGTGATTTTTCATTAATATCTGTATAGATGTAAATATTTAGGAGAGCATTTTATATGAAAAATTAAACTAAAGAAAATTTAATAACATTAAAGAAAGTGTTTAGCACTGTTTCATGCATCATTTTAATTATTATAGGCCTCTATATTTAGACAATCCCCAACATTTTTTACTCCAAGTGCCAAGATGTCATTATTGTTCACATTCATTAAATTTAAACCTATTATTTCTGCTTCTTTAAAGCAAGCTTTATATTTGGGTAAAAATAAACTGTCTAACCAGTCAGGATTTCATTCTAGGAGTAGTTTATGCTGGAATTCTTTTTGTACTGACTTCATTATGATTATTTCACTATTACTTTCTCTGGTGATTAAAAAAAGAAACAAGACATAATTCAAGGGTTGCTTACTTGATAAGATGTTACAGGATAAGACGTCTTATTGATGTACTAAATGAGAATTTTTAGTTTGCATATGGGACTATCCATGTATGTCTTTTCAATACACTGTGAAAACTGGGAAACCATAGTATCACTAAGACTGTTGTGTGAACAGTCCTGACAGGGATGACTAGTCACCTGATAATTGAGAGAACTCATTTGACCCATGAAATGCTATCGATTAATAATTTCTGGAGAGTAGGTACAACCTTACTAGTAAAATTCAGGAGGTGGTGCTATCATTGGTGGATAGTGGTCAGTAGAACTAATGCTAGAGGAACTGGATGATGGAGGCCCTGCTGCAAACTCTGGAGGAGGAGGAACAAGTTCAGTGAGCACATCTACCTCATTCACTGCTGCTAGACCCAGGGAATCTACTTCAAGACGGATCAGCTGAAGGCTTTCATCACTACTCTGAATCAACTTTGAAGTTTCATTTTCAATTTTCCTCCACTGACCTTTATTATCTAAGAAAGTCTTTTTGTGATTACTTTCCACCTCACCAGCATCAAAACTTTTATTTTCATTTTCTAGTGTTTTGATAAGTTTAACTTTTGAACTAGAATTTTGATTTTGTTCAAAAGTAGGATTAGTTCTGTCAACATAAGATTCAGATTTTTGGCTAGAAACCAAAATTTTGTTATGGTTGACTCTACTCGTAACTATTGATGAAGAACTATCATAGCCAGTATTAATTTGCTTGTTTAGACTTTGAGAATCCACTTTTTGGAGTACTTCTGTAAAACTATCACCAAACTTCTCCATTTTGACAGAAAAGTTTTCTTTATTTTGCCCTTTAACTTTATGGCCATCTTCTGGTGAGATCCCAGTCACAGTAGACTCATTCTGAATTTCAACATCTGATGAAACACCACTAGAACTGTTCTCATATTTATCAAGATCTTCATGTTCAAAGTTATTAGGAAATGATTTGGATGATCTTATTAAAGTGCTAAAAGGCAAAGATACATCCTGTTGGTTTGTTTGTGATCTGTTCTGAGCTCCTATGATTGCTATATGGAGATCATCAATCTTCTTGGAAGGTAAGGTAGCAGACTTACTAGAATTCTTTTTTTGTTCAAAAACAGATATCTTTTCATTTAATGGACTTGGAGAAAATTTTACAGTTATTTCTTCTTTGTGACTTGTTGGTATGCTTTCTATTTTACAAGAATCTTTATAGTCATTTTTTGTTAAATCTGCATGGTGATCAGACCCAAAAGACATCAAACAAGTTTGGGAAACAGTTTTGGTTTCTGTTTTGATGTCTAATAAATTTGAATTTTCTTCAAACTCATTCTGCCTGCTTCTCAACAGTGCTGTTCCTATATGTCCATCATATGTATTTCTTTCATTATAACTTCTGGGCACTTGCTTAGTGTCATTAGTACTAACATTGGGTTTATGGTCATAATTACTTGTTTTGCTCTGATAATTTTGAGCAAGTCTGAGTTTCATTCTTGCTTCTTGCATGGCTTGAATCGCTTGCATATGTGTATTTTGAAGGTGAGAATATCTTGAACAACAATCTGTAGGTTGTACTTTGTCTCCAGTAGAGGTTTTCTGATCTTTCAAGCCTTTGGAAGAAAAACTAACTTCTTCCTCACTGCTTTCATAATCAGGTTCTGGAATAAACGGTTCAGAGGTTTTGCAATTTGCAGCTTTCTGAATATTATGAACTTCTGCAGGACAAATTCTTCCACTGACAACCTGATGCTTCTGTGTTTTCAGAGTCCCATTATCAGACATCAACCCACTGTCAGAGGATAACGAATCTCTTTGTTTGTGATACATTCTAAAAGTGGAATGAATTTCCCCAGATTCTCCACTATTTTCCGTTTCAGAGAAAGTACTTGATGTAGTTAACAGTTTTGATCCTGATATCTTTGGAGGCAAGGAATGAGACCTGAAGCTGGAGCCTCCACTTGCTCTTGAGGAAGAATGCTCAAGCTTTAGAGTCTCAGTTGTAGTCTTGTAACCTACAGGCACCATTGACTCAGGAGGGACAAGCAGTTTGGCATTATCTCCAGGACGAAAACTCGACATAATTGCAGATTCGGGTCTTCTTGCAGTGGTAATATTAGCATACTCTCCTAATGATCGTGAAACATTAACTTTCACTACTAGTCCCTGTGGAGGAGGAGGTGGACGGTTTGTCGGAGGAGGACACTTGGTTCTTGGTGGCACTGGCACTTTCTCATTCTGGTGAAGAGGCAGAGTTTCTGCATAAATCTGACAAGGAACTTCAGTTTTGGTCAAAGTATCAATTTTTTTTGCACTAGTAACTTGGTCATATAAATCTTCAATAGACTTCCAAGACTTATAAGAAGATGTAACACGTTCTCGGACCGAAGAACCAAAATACTTTTTGTAGTTGTGTGGAGGACAAGCCCATGAATGTCTAAAGTTTTTGGCATCCAAAACATGGATGTCTTCCTGACTAAGACATTTATTCTTATAATGATTAAGGCTGTTATACCTCTCCACATCAACACTTAGATCTGGAGTGCTATGGAATGTTTTGTGTGCTTTCACCACATCATACGTCTTGGAACGTGTAGCTTTTGAGCGTTTCATTGCTGCTACGCTAGCATAAACCTTTGGCATCTTAGTCAAAGAAAACAAGTTTTTTGAAACTGTAAAAGAATGCTCTATATGATTCTTTTCTCTCTGGTTAGAAAAAATACACTCCAATTCTGATGTGGGAATATCTCTCGCACATGATGCAGGATAAATGGAAGCAACCTTGTTTGAACTTTCTGCTACAAAATTTGCTGGCTTGTTTGGAATGCTTTCAATGGAACTACTTTTGGTTGATCTTCCTTCAGAGTCGTATTCATTTACTGTTCTGTCCAGTGCCTCTAGAATAGAAATATAAAATAAATTCTCCTTAACTTACCTTACAATTAAGTTTATTTTTACGCATCTACAATTTTATTAAGTTGTTAGTTAACATACCCATTTAGTGCACATAAGGGCCCAGGGGAGTGAAATAGGGATTGGCATTTGGGTGTGACCTCTTCCCTTAAATTATTATTGTGGTTTATCCTAATAACTTAGTATAAGATTATAGTACAAATTTGAGATTGTATCCACAACATTTAATAAAGCATATACAACTAATGAAATAATGCAATCTGTATGTACTCATAATATAATTTATGGTATCATAAACTACATTATAATCATGATTAATTGTTAATTAATTTATCCTACTTTTGTCTGTTAACATTCTACTACACTGTGCGCCTGTGCTATTATGAAGGGATGATGCAAATGGTATCCCTACATTTACTTCCTTTTTTGAAAAGTTTTTTCTTTACTTGTTTTATACAAATAAATGTAAATTAAAAAAGTGTTTCAGCAGCTATTTCTCTTGTGTTTGCAATACTTGAAAACAATATAGCATGGGTGGGAATGTAATAATTAAGATCCTTTCATTATGCAGTAAAATGTTATAAAACAAAAGTAATATAACAAACCTATGTCTGTTAGTTCAGCCACAAGGGAACGTGCTCGTGCCCTACCAACAGAAAGAGTAGTTCGAGGATCCCGTCTGGGTGGTGGTGGAGCTTTAAAACATGAGAATATAAATAAATACAAAACCTTCGTTTTTTCAGGTGTGACATTTTTTACCTTTGCATTCATCTATTTAAATCATTTTAAAATCACACTTTTTTAAAAAAAAAAAAGAAATGTGGTATGGATTATGAATTTTTAAAACAGTATTCCATATTACTTAAAGTACGTACATGAACAAAATTGAAACAATATCTTATACAATAATTTACAACAAACACAGCTAATCCTGCTATGTTTATCCAACCTCAGTCATCTTAAGTACATTTAACAGCAAATTTACATTGGTAATTAACTGTATGCTCGCACAAAATAGATCTTTAAATATATGTAAGAAAAAAATTCAGGTACTGTTAACCATAATATGGAGTAACAAAAGAGCCTTTTAGATTGCAAGCTAGTTGGTAAAGGATCTCTTTTAAGATCTAAAACAACTGAGCTGAAATTTTATATTTTGGAGTCACTGATTAACAAAATATGATATGGCCTAAGTGTAAGTTTTTTGATTCAATATTATAGGAATTTATATACTGTAAATGCTTTTTTTAGTCATATTGAAATAAATCACACATACAAAAATTATCATGAAATTACAAAATCTCTATAGGATTTTCACCTTTTTTAAGAGAAAGTTTGCGTGGTAGGGTGGCACACTGTCGCTGCACAGTATCTGATTTATCACTGGCATTTCTAGTTAGCTGCGTCTGTACTGAAACTACTGTCATGGCAACTAAATCTCCAGACTGACGAATTATTGCTACAACTCTTTCATGTGGAGCTTGAGACACATCTTGTCCATTGATCTGATAGCAAAATAAAATAAAAACATTTGATCAAAAACTTTAGAATCTAGAAAACTAGCCATAATACATCTAGCCAGTACATTCTAATTTCTCATCAAATGGTTTATTTAAATGTTATTTAGCAAAAGCTTTAGCATTCTGGAACTAAAATACACACTGAAAAGTCATCGTTTTTACTTCAGTTTTGTATCAACTGTGATTATTTTTTCATTGTAAGTAACCATGAAGACTATCTGTGCTATGCATGTCACTAACCTCCAATAGGAAATCCCCTTTCTTTAATCCAGCTAAATCAGCAATTCCACCTCTATCTACATCATCAAGGTATTGCAAGCTTGGCCAGTTATCTGTCACTTGCCTTTCCATCAGTGGACTTGTAGCTAAAGAAAATATCACATTTAAAGAGGTTTTAAATGTAATTCATTTTGAACTAGCACCTTAAGGCATGCCTATTACTAAATTACATTAATTATACCTTTCTTAAGAACCTTATTTAAAAAAACTATGGAGTTGGCTTTCATTACCTGCAGTTTAATAACATAACCTCATTCAGTTTATTGACAAATTTATACCAGATATTAAAATATGTTGTTCATATAAAATTCAATATGAATAATGTGAAAATAAAAAACTATATATTAACAAAAACAGCATAGGAAACTGCATGAAGCTGTGACAGAACTAGTTGGATTATTCTACAACATTGTGTTGGAGAAACGGATTTCTGTACCATAATGGGGATTGAAGCAATATAACTATACATCCCTATTAGTTTTGAAAATCTGGTATAATTAGACTAAATCTGGGTCAATTTGTGCTCTGAGGAAAATTTCTGGAGCCATCCAAAACAACAACTCAAAGGTCGTGGAATGCACTTACTTTCTTAGTATTGTATTGTACTAGTCTAAGCATATTGGATTTATAAATTAAAATTAAAGAAATAAGCAATAATCTGAAACTCTTAAGATTACAGCTAGCAGGCTAAAGTAAAAAGTCAAATCTTACACTGAGCTCCTCTGAGAACAAAACCAAAACCTTTCTTTCCTTTGTGGAGGATCACAGTTCGTGCATCTCCATACCTAGTAGATTAAAAAGAAAATTCAAAATGTCTGCTTCATTTATTACAAGCTGTATTTTTACTGGTTGTCTTATGTATGTGTTACAGATAATAAAGTAATTATGAAAACTTTACTGGGCAAGAGACAAAAGTTTAAAATATGACAAAGTTGTTTTTGTGTTATTTGATATATTCATTATACATTTTCGAAAGTGACATCCTACACTTAACTAATTTAGCTTTCATTGACTGGGGTGTTATGAATAACAAAGTAAACTGAAGTTATCTTAAATATTACAAATTGTTTCCATCATTTAAATCATAAGTGTTTTTGCAAAATCCCAGAAACGTTTTTCAGAATTGAACAGTTTTCCTCTGGATTAACTGTGATATAACTGTTCACATTTTATTTCCTTATATCTGCAAAAGATTTAACAATAAAAAGATCAACTGAAATGTTGAAATGTTAATACAATTAATCTGTGATTTTTCCTCACAACATTTTCTGTCTCTTTTAATCATTAGTGAATTTATCATATATTTATACATTTTTCTTTGTTAAAACAACTAATCTAATTCAGGTTTTTAAAATTAAGGTATAAACAAATTAATTTATTTTACTTATAAAAACAATAATATATCTAATAACAATTATACAAGACAGTTAAAGTGTTCAAGTGATGAAAATCAGACAGATGTGAAAATACTGATAACACTATTATTCTGGATGTTACACAATAAAGCCATTTTTTAATACTTTAGTAGCCTTATAAGTTTAAATAACAAAGCTCTTAGATACGATGTATTTTGAAATACAATATCTCTCCCTCAACCAGAGGTAAAGTAGTGTTAGGTGGCAGGGAAAGGAACAAGAAATTTCAATAATTTTTTCTTGGAGGTGTTGAATACACCATTTAAAAGTCCACATCCTCCTGTATCCAAATATGCAATTCATGTGATGTTAACGTATTTCAGTCAAGAATCACGAGCAGTCAAAGACACATAAGGTTTCAGAATGGTCACACCACTTTACCAGAATCAGTCAATAACACAAGATTATTATGTTTTGTTTTTTTTATTCACAAATCAAATTATGTGATCATTTTTGATTGTCTGTTTGACGTTGGAAACCTTGTTCTTGATCTTTTGATATGGCAGAAAATACTGCTACCATTGCTACTGTCTTTGTCAGTAGCAAACCATTTTTGAGTGCCACCACAGTATCTTTGGGCTTGATAGATGGATTTACCCAACAAGGGCTGTAAAAAATGACCATCGTGATTGCGACCATAGCAGCTACACATATTGCAAGTTGAACATGCAAGTAATCAAGGGATGATGAGGATGAATGCAGAAGAGTAACAAAGTTCCAGTCACGATCAGCAAGACTTGTAGCTACCTGTTGAAGATCAGATGGGCTCTGGTTTGATAGTTTGAAAAACAGATGCAATAATGGGTGAAGAAGAAGTCACACATATTGTACCGTTGGCTACACAACAAGAAGTAATGTCATTAACTATGAGATTTCTGCTGATGATGTGGCCAGTCAGAAACTTGGGAAATTTTCTCCCAATTTGGAAATTGTAAATATCAGGTCTCATATAAGTTTTAATTAAATCAGATAAATCCTGGATTTTATACATCTGATCCCTGCCACCAAGTCACCTCTGGATGAGGGAGAAATCCTGTGTTAAATAAGATAATAATGTAGTAGTTAAAATGAAGACACCCTGGATGTAATTAGTTGTTGGATATACGAGACTGATTAGTTTAAGAGTTATTATTCAGTTTATTTAGTGATTTAACATTTAATGATCATTTAGTTTTCATAAGAAGAGTGTTAAAAGTTAATTATTTTAAAAGCAATAGTTATGAAAAGTTGCATAACATAACTCTGTACATGTTGTACATTGTGTTTGTAGTTTCAGTGCTGTTCTAGGCATTTGTAATATTGTTAATGTCATCTTACTCGATGCTTCTAAGTTTTTTCTCCTTATGTGAATATTGTTGTGATAAGAGGTATAGATGTTAATAGATTTTTCTGTCGCATATTATAAATACATGCAGATAGAGAGTGCAAGAAAAAGTTAAAGTAAGTTAGTGAAAGTGAAGTTAGACTGCTTGATTGTCAGTTTAGCCATAATGGGCAATTCCTAAAGAGAATTTATTATCGATTGTATTGTGATAACAGAGGAGAGAAGAAATAATATGTTCTGTCAAAAAGTGTTCTAAAGCAATTGAATCCACCGGTGTGGTCTTTGACAAAAGAGAGACAATTATTTAAAGCTCTGGATACAAATGTGATAACCAATAGTGTAACGAATTCTTGTACATATGTTTGACTTGTTTTGAATATATCATTTTAAAACAAGTGGATTGTGTGCCATCTGTTTCTTGTTGAAATTTATTGCCAACAAGTCACAGACACCTACTGTAAAGAATCCGGCCCTATAAAAACCTGACATTCATGTGGTAGAATCCTGAGTTAAAATTTCAGAAATGATCCTGAAATAAATGATAGTAGGTATAGTCTAGGAACCAATTTTTAGGTTTTCTGACCATCTCTTCTCTATGTAATTTAAATACTAATGAGCAAAGTTTTTACATATGCTAGATCATATAATTTCAACATAATGTATATAGTATCTTACACTTTCCACTTTCTTGGAATGGTGTTAGTTTTTCTTGTATTCAATTCTCTACGGCCTTCAACTCGAGGTCGGCCAATTGGTGGCAGGTCTTCAATTTTTCTCAACTTTATTTCCTGAACACATGAAGATGGAAATAAACCTTCTACTCCATTTCTTAGCCTGCCTTCAAGAAGTCCACAATCAGAGACACCAACAACTAAAAAAAATAAGTATTTTAAATAATCTGGTAATTTGAAATTGTAACACAAAAATAAATTGGAAGCCAATAATGACAGTATACATATTAATAGAAAGTGAAATCAAAGTAAAAATTTAAATGTTGAAAGACCTACCCATGATGAATTCATTGTTTTGTGCCTATTTTCAAATTATAATAAACTAATGTAAATGTATAAATTGTCATAAAAACATAGTTATGAGAATTGTACAAGCTTACTATCCAAAATATCTCCTCGTGTCAACTGAAGATGAGTAGGACTACAAGGGTAATAATCTTCCATACACACACAGGTAGTGCCAGGAGGGAAGAGTTCAGTAATTGATTCACTTGCTCCACTGTTACTTGTGCAAACACCTGAAGAATCACTAGTGATACTTCTTTCTGAAGAAAAACAAAAAGTAGTGAGTAGTGGAAACTACAAATTGGAAGAAAATATCAAGTGTGAGATACTGGGGGAGGGTTAAGATTTTCATTTAATTATTTGGTTTGCACCCATGCATTGCACAGCAAGATCATTTTTGTGAAATTTATAACAAGAGAACTTCAATAATAAATTATCTTTTCAACATCATACCTGTTATTACACTAGCTGATGTTGTATCTTCACTATCTTCGCCACTTGGCTGTGTGCAGGTGGAAGAAGAACCAGTTGATGCCTCAGAAATTGTTGAAACAGACGAGAAAGGGGGCAAAGAGCGGTAGGAGGGGCAAGGAGAGGGTGGTTTGCCACCAAGGACTAGTTCAAAGTGTGGGTCACTATCAGTGCAATTTAAAACTGTCACCATAGCAACACTGGCCCGCCTCCGAAGATTATACTGTGGAGCCTCTCGGTATGGAACTGTAGTGAGAAATATGTAAGACAGCAGGTCATGAAACATTCCCATGCTAAATATAACTCAACCACAAATTATGAAGGCAAGATTATATAAAAGTTCAAAGGCATTATTAAACAGTCATGTACTACACAGCTTTGTTAGAGACAGTATAAATCTGGTTATCATCCCATGTTAATTAAGAATGAGAGTATAGTAATGTTTCTGTTAGATAAAACTGAACAGATATTCCTAATTATTATCAAAAATACTTTCAAATGACAATGTGATAAACATTTGTCAATTAAAAAGGTGAAAGCACTTTTATATCAAACTAGAAGGTTGGCAATATACATGAATACTGGAGCATATTAATGAACTAGAAAATGGTCAGCATCTTAGCCTTAAGTCAGACTTATAAAGTAAGTATTGATAGAGTTCTAAAAGAAAATCGAGGCCAAAATAACTTAGATATTAAACATGGAAATGGTGGTTAGTCCAACAGAGAACAGACAAAACACTGGAAGGCTGAAATTGTTATCTGATTCCTCTGGGAGATGTACCACTCAATAACCAATATGTACTTTGTCCATTGTATGTTGCATGTCCACAACAGGAATAAACCAGTGGAACTACAAATAGTTAGTTTTTAATAACCAGATGAGACTATAGCTTAGAAAAATCATAGTATAAAAGCTGTTATCAAACCAAGCTATCAGATAGCCTTAACTCACATCTTCCCTCTATTAGGGATTTTGCACCAGAATAATTCAGAACTTGTCATGCCTTTAGCTACCACAGTGGAACACGGTTCAGTTCTTCTATAAGTAATCTTTCTATGATTTAAAGTTTTATAGTATAACTAGCAAAGCATAAGAAACTAAAAACTTTGGTTCAAGTAACAAAATGATTAACAACTTTTATTTCAGAGGGTTTTTTTTGGCACAAAACCGTAGAGGCTATCTTTGCCAAACAATTGGTTGTTAGGTTAGTCTTTTTTGCAGTTATTATTGCCAATGACACTATCCAATGTGAAAGAGGTACCACAGATAACATTGAAATTGGTGATGGCATAAAAGTAATATGTGGGCATTTGTGACTTAGGTGACACACTGCTCATATATTGGTGGGTTATTCCTTTGTTAGAGAAACTAATGTGTAATGAAACTGTGACCAATGCTGAGACTTGCAAGGGCAACTTTCCACCTCTGATTATTGCACAAACTAGAAGGCCAGTCAGTGATATTGTGTTTTATATGGAAAAGCTTGTTGTGTTGTTGCTCGCCCCATCTTGCCTACCGACCGCCATTAAGCCTTAGTTTAATGACAAGCTTGAACTCCAAGTAAGAAACAGGCAAAGGTGTTATGTTGCCAGTGAAGTCCAATTTGGCTGCTGTGACAGCAAGTTCCTTTCCTTGGATTGTGACACATCCTCAAATCCAGCAAAACTAGATAGAGATAAATGATAGTAAGAAATGGGCCAGTCATTTCTCAATATCAAAGAAAACTAGATAAAAACTGATATTAAGCTATTCCAGGTCCTTCAAAGAGCTAAGAGTGTCAATATTGATTGTTCAGTTAATTGCTTTGGTTCTGTATGATCCATGGCAAGAGAGATTGCAAACAACTCATCAGTGAACATACAATCTGTAAAGAGGATCCCATAAGGAACTACAGAGCTGCAGCAAACCATAGCAGAGCCCACAGAATCACCTGATTTCGAGCTATCCATAAAAAACAGAAATAAAAGGATGGCTTGAAAGGTGTTGTTAAAGGCAAGTCAGTACTTCTATTTGAGAGTATCTAACTTCTTTGAGGACTCATGAAAAATTGCAGTGGGGGTTGTTAACAAGCCAATGGTGGAATGAGATGATTATCAGATTGAGCAACATCATCCAATGTCACACCAAACTCCATCAACTTTACTTGGATATGAAGGCCAAAGTAGTAATAGCAGACTGTCTGCCTGCAAAAAGCAAAACCCACTAAGGCATGAAGACAAAAGTACTAGGTGAGATGCTATGATACAACTGAAGCTTTGCAGCATATTGCAAAGAAAGTTGCAAACATACCTCAGGTGAAATGGAGGTTCATAGGACTCTGTGTACAGACTCTGGATTGGAGAAATGAAGAAAGCCCCTGATGATGATGCATGTTGTTCAACATCTTGAATGCAGGGTCTCTGGCTGTAGTGCTGACTACAGTCTATTTTAGATCAAATAAGGCATGATAAACTTTTAGCATAGAATACTTATCTGCTCACCATGAAGTTGAAGAAAGAGTGAATGCAGAGAATGCTCAGTTGCCCTTGTACATTTGACTTTAAGCTAGTTTATGTGTTGAGTGAAAATCAGCTTATTGTCCTGAGAAGTTTTTCTTAGCCAACACAGAAATTGTTGGATCTCTTTGATGGAGCTGAGTGCCTAATTGCAATATCTGTTCACAGCAAAAATTCATACATATGGTTTTAGTTCACAAAAATTTGAAACCATTTGCAGTGGTTCTCTTACAATTAATTAAGGGCAGTTTAAAATTGCTGCTCATTGAATCTCAAATTCAGTGACCAACAGGAAAATCTAGTCATCAACAGAGGCTGTGTACAGCTGCATGAGAAAATTTTCCAGTGATGACACTGAAATTAATGCTAAAATGTGTGAAACTCAAAATACAGCCTTGAGGTACTCCAAGAGTTTGTAGAAAGGACTAGAGACTGTTGACCCAGAATGACCTCTCTACCAAAAACATTATGGATAAAAATGGGTAAATGGCCATTTAACCCATAGCAGTGTAGATCATGTAACACTTTGAACCTCCTTATAGTTTCATAAGCCTTTTGAAGATTAAAAAAGAAAATGGAAACAAGATGCTTTCTCTTGAAAAAGGCTTCCATGATTGACAATTCTAATGAAACCGAAAAGTCCATGGTAGATTAATGCCTGTGGAGGCCACACTGTGATGGAGAGAATGCTGTGTGGTTCAAGGAATCAAAGAAGGTAAGCAATATCCATTCTCTCCAGAATTTCAAAGACAGTCAAAACAATAATTCTTAATTAGAAGGAATCTTGAAATTCTTGCCACATTTATAAAAAGAGATAACAATAGCCTGATGCTATAAATCTGCCAAATTGAGTTTAAAAAAAGATTGAGAGATACACAAGAGAAAGAGAGAGATGGTGCAGAATTTTGTAATTTATGTCATCCTGTTTGACTGATGTATTGCCAGACTGATATAAAGCAAGTTTAATTTCCACCACATTGAATGGCTGACTATAATCATAGAAACAATCTTGCTAAAACAGATTTCATTCAGTTTATGTATTGATGGTTATTTTATCATTCAAGCACTCTCTAAGGGTGTTGGCAATACACTATAAATGAACTACTTATTGGCTATTGGGTTTCAAAATCGAAAGAGGGGGGGGGATGGATACTTCCCATTCATCTTTTGAGCCTTGTTCCAATCAATCTTGGAACTGTTGGTAGAAGAGATGTTGAAAGTGAATTTAATCTAAGACTCACTGTGGCTTTAACACCTGATCTGCTGGTCACATACCAAGCCTTCTGAAAAGCTATGTAGTTAGTAAAAGTGGGATATCTGCTGAAGGATTATTTCTGAGCCCTTCTTGCCCTTGGCAGTTAAGTATCTACCACAAAAGAGGATACCATGGAAAATGTGTTGAAATTTTAGGGATGGCAAAGAAACCTGCCTGGACAATATGATTAATTATTACCTCCATGCAACCATTAACTATATATTCCAGTGTTGAAGAGAGGAAGGTTGTGATTCAAAAGCAAACACTCCAAGGATTGACCAATATCTACATCAGCTCTGAGTGGATTGTGTCAATTTAAGTCTATATAGATAGTGAAGATAGATGGCATCTGCTCAATAAGATCTTCAAACTGTCTTGATTGGCGTCTTCTCTTGGAAGCAGGTAAAAGAGCATAGTGTGATGATACAACCATTGGAGATAGCATACTTATTCTTTCTGTATAATAAAAATTACCAAATGGTGACAGTATCACCAGTTTTCAGAAATATCTCTTGTAAAAAAATGATACACACAGGACAGTGAGAAAATATCACTACAATATCTTCTAAATTAGAAAAAAACCTCAACAATTTCACGTATTGGTGTGGTTATTTTCAACTAGGTTGTTCAGTGGGTAGCACTATTGCTTGGATTTGTGACTAATTTCCTTTACCTCCATGGTAAGTCCCCATCAGAAGGAAAGGATTTATATGAACTAAGACAAAACAAAATAATTTTTTATACACTGGGGCCAATATAACTGGTCTTAATTGATTGCTGGTGGTACTAGTAGGGATAGAGATGTGCATTTATCCATGTGCTTGTCCACAAAGGACAAAAGAGCCTTCATATAGTTGGAAAATGACTGTTGGGGGAAGAGAGAGATCTGTTTACACATCCAATGTAGCAGTGGAATGAGATGCAGCTGCCTAACTCTGTTTCTGAGAGGGTGTCACCATCCTCTGTGCCTCAGGATAAGAGATGTTATTAAGAATTTTTCTTCTCTGTAACTCTTCCTCTATAATCCCTTTCAGACATATGATCTACAGCAGAGGTACCAAAATAGTAGTCCATGAGCTGCCTTCAAGTGGTCCATGGAAAGGTTTCATAAAGAATATTTTGTAGATCCCAGAGCAAACCCAACACTTGAGATCTTAAAAATGCAGCCAAATAACTAGGAGACTCATTTAATGATTGATACTCCTTGACTGGAGATACCAGCAAGAGATCTTCAACTTGGAGATATGAATAAGGTCTTCTCCATTATAACTCCTCTTAATGAATTCAAAGTAATATAAGGGAAGACCATAATGGGTATCCCCCAGTAACCTTCTATCTCAAAAGGATTTTCCTGGCACAAGGTCATAATGCTTTGGCTAGGAGGTCCCCAGATCTTACATTTCTTACTGATTTTGAAGATCCTGCAAGCCTCTCAAAGCCTTTTGTTTACAGATGGGTGATATCTTTACAAGAGAAATTTCTAACAATGAATATAACATCAGAAAACAATGTAGGGGAACTGGAGAACATGGTGACATAATGAAAGTCATCTGTTCATGGTCACTTTGTAGTTAATCTGTGAAGTTTTGGAGATTTTTTTTATCATAGGGAAAAAAATTAAGTACCTACTGACTCCACCTACCATGGAGTCCTGACGTACTATGCTCTCAAAGCTCAAACACCAGTATCAGACATAATGTCCATAACAACCATTGAGAATGTCCATTGATGGTGCTTAGTTGATCCTAGTCACAACTGACCAGCTGACTGCCCTTCAGGGAGCCACCAGTGGTTCCCTTCTACAGGAATTCAAGGCCAAAATGCACCACTTACCCATCAGAATTCTCCCCCCCCCCCTTCATAGGTCACTATGCATAACAAATATATGAGTGAATATTTGGATCCCAGAGAAGTTAAACTGTGCAGGCAGAACCTTCTCTAAAAGGTCCCCTCACCACAATCAAAGGGAACTGATTAAAGAAGTTTTCTTTGTAAAGCATAAGTAACAAAGCTAGTTAAAAGAATTTAAGTAAAAATAATAAATTATAGTTACAGTGACAAAGACCTCAGTGCCATGCAGTGTCATCCTGTCTCACTACGAGAATGATGATATAATTAATTCTACAGGTTGTAAGATGGAATCGAAGACAGCTATAATCCAATAATTGACTGATTTGCCATTATATTACATGCATTATACACATTACACACATCCTATCAATTAACATATTCTAGAAACTCGATTCAACTAATGAATAAGAAAGTAAACAGCAAAGTGCACATTAAGCAATTAAAGATGCACTAAGTATCAGTCATACTTTTGAAAGTATCATTTCAGAGCAAGCTTCCATTATATTATAAAACGCTACTCAGGCATTTGACTTTCCAAAAAATAGAAGTAAATATTTAACACAAAGTACCATATATATATATATATATATATATATATATATATATATAGTATATATAGT